AATAAAGAAAACTGTTACTTCCAGGAAAAATATTTATAAATACATTTAAAATTTTTCGCCTATAAAGATCTTGTTACTGCTTAGGTTTTGTTGTTGTTGGAGGTTGAGTTCCTAATTGATCTTCAGACAACAACTGTGTCTTGTCACTGTTTTGTTTAATGACATATTTGAAATGTATATATATATAATTTTTGGAAGCTGTAAAGATCTTCTGCATGTGCACACTTATAAGGGTCTGTGAGGCATATTATGAGCCATATTGAGGGTTGGGATTTGAGTTATTCTCTTGTTCTTTCAGTCACTGATCAAATATTTGCTGCGCCTTTATTATCTAGGAGTCCACCATTTATCAGGAGTATTCTACCTCTTGATTTTTGGGCTACTTCTTTGGTTGTTGTTGTTGTTACTTATGCTACAAACTCATTACCATAGGGCTGAAGAGATGGCTCAGCACTTAAGAGCACTGGCTACTCTCCCAGGGGTCCTGAGTTCAATTCCCAGCAACCACATGGTGGCTTACAACTGATCTGTAATGAGATCTGGTGCCCTCTTCTGGTGTGCAAGCAGAACACTGTATACATAATAAATAAATAAATCTTTAAAAAAGTACTTGTTACCATAATAATTTAGAGTTAAATTGTGAGAGCTAAAGAGACCACTTTTTAAAGGTTCATTGTATATGATCTTGTGTATATTGATCTTTAAAATGATATGTAATAGGGTTGCCGTGTTTAGTCCTCGCCAAATTAGATATGATGCAGTATCTTGACTTTGCCCGATTCTCTGATAATTGAGTGGTGTAAAATTTGGCACTGTCGGGGATTGAACCTAAGGCCTTGTTCAGGCAACGCAAGAGTTCTATTACTTATCTACCTTCCCAGCCGTAGACATTGTTTTTAGAGAATTATAGTTTCACAACACAACTGGGCAAAGATGTAGAGATGCCCATATTCTCAATATCCCTGGCCCTCTGTACTTGTACTCATACCCTTTTATTCAGTACTGGGAAATCAGTTTAGGGCTTTGAATAATATTCTCACCTTTTACATATTTTATTCACAATAATTACCCTGAAATGCCCCACAGGCCTGATTTAAACACAAACTGTTAGAGCCAGGGTCTTACTAAGTTCCCCATGTTGGGATTTTAACTCTGTAGCCCTGGCAGGGCTGGAACTCATAATCTTCCTGACTCAGTCTTCAAAAAATTCAAGTTACAGACCTGGCCACCAAGCCCAGAAGAGTTTATCTTCAGGACTGTGCATTCTATGTGCTTGGGTAGATGACATACACCTGTCATTCTGCTATATGAAGCACCTACACTGTACTGAGAACTGTCAAGTTTGTCTGTTTATCTTTCTTTCCTTCCTAACCCGTGGTATATGCTGATGGTTTTGCCTCCATAATGTTTTCCCTTCCCTGAATGTTATGCTGTATGTAACCTTTTCATATTGGCTGCTTTGAATTAAAAATTTTAAATTAAATTTCCTTTATGCCTTTTTATAGAATGACAACTCATCTGTTTCTACTGCTGAATAATATATTAATATATCCATTATATGGATATATTATAGTTTTTGTCCATCTACATATTAAAAGACAGCTTGGAGCTAGGCATGATGGCTCCTACATGTAATCTCGGTATTTGGGAAGCAGAAGCAGGAAGATTATCATGGGTTTGAATCTCCTAGTCTATGGAGTAAGACTATATATATAAACAAACAAACAAACAGTATCTTAGTTGTTTCCAGGCTTGACATTTAGGACTGAATGTTTTATAGCGTCTGCACAAGGTTTTCAATGGAGCTCAGCTTCTGTCTCTTTTGGGTAATTGGCGGGGGTGGGACTTAGAGATCACATGGTAAGGTCTTAGCCCTTGGTTACATGTGAAATGGGATGCCTTTCCTCACTGCTCATTTGCCATCCTTACATCTTTGATAAGGTATCTGTTAAGATCTTCATCCTGTATTTTATAAAGTTTGTGTTTCCTTATTGCTAAATCTTAAGATTCAGATACACAGTTTTTTGTTTGTTTATTTTACTGAGCAAGATCTTTTTTTTCCCCAAAGACGTTTACTTTATTTTTTTTAAAATTTTTATTTATTTATTAAAGATTTCTGTCTCTTCCCCACCGCCACCTCCCCTTTCCCTCCCCCTCCCCCAAACAAGTCCCCCTCCCTCGTCAGCCCAAAGAGCAATCAGGGTTCCCTGCCCTGTGGGAAGTCCAAGGACCACCCACCTCCATCCAGGTCTAGTAAGGTGAGCCTCCACGAAACTGCCTAGGCTCCCACGAAACCAATAGGTACAGTAGGATCAAAAACCCATTGCCATTGTTCTTGAGGTACTGAGCAAGATCTTGCAGTGTAGTCCTATCTTCCCCCTCATTGTGTAGACTATGCTGGTCTCAAACCAACAGAGATCCACCTGCTTCTGCCTCCTGAGGGCTGGAATTGAAGGCATGTACCACCATGTCTGGTTTATTACATGGTTTTAGTAGTAATTCTATATGTTGCTCCCCCCTCCAAATTCTTTTATTTTCTTGGCAGTGACTTTTTAGGGCCAAAAAGTTAATTTTATTGAAACTCAGTTTGTAATTTCTTTTTATAAGATTGTGCCTTTTGCGTCACATTTAAAATGTCATCACCAAGCTGGAGCCATTTAGATTTTTTCCTGTTATATTATCCCATAGCCATCCCATAGTTTTATGTTTCAATTCATATCTAGGATACACTTAAAGTTAATTTTTATGGAACTTATTGTTTTTGCCTGGACTCATGCTTTTAGCATGTGGTTGTCCTTTTTTTAATGTGTTGAAAACAGTACCTTTTTCTCTTTGTGTTGCTCTTAGTCTTTTTCCAAAGATTCTTGACTGTATTCACATGGGTGTATTTTCAGGCCTCTGACCTGTTCCTTCTCTTCGCCTGCAAATTCTCTGGTTAGTGTCTCGTAGTCTCAGCCACTCTTGCTTTTAGTAAATCTTAGAATGGTTTCAGTTCTCTGACTTTGTTCAATGTCGTTTACTTATTGTGGCTCTTTTGCCTCTTCATATAATCTTTGGAGTAAGCCTGCCAACTGTTGCAAAATGACATGGTAGACTATTTATTGTGACTGTACCGACTCTATTAACCATTTTGAAAGCAACCAAATCAAGACAGTGCCAAGTTTTTCAATATCTGTATATTTGGTAAGTTTTCTGATTTCTTTCATAAATCTTATAATTTTTCTTATATAAATGTTATAGAAAATCTGTGGATACAGCTGCAGTACATCCTTATACCTAAGGCACAGGAAAAATCAAGGAGGAAGAAAAGCCTGTAAGAGCCAGAGAACCAGGATGCCTGTTGCTAGATAGATGTCCCTAGAGATAACACAGAAGATGTACTTATGGCAACTCAACAATAAACTTGCCTGAACAAGACCAGTATGATGACAGCACCAGTTGACATGACAACAGGAATGGAAGAAATTCTGCAAGATCCCACACGTTGATGACAGGTGGCCAGTGGTTGCTGAGAAGGAGAGAATCAATTTCCCATAGGGACAAACTCCCAGATAGGTTGTTCAGTCGCTGAACATACGTACATACAGGCAATGCTAAATGAACTCAGTAGGTTTCAGTACACACACACACACACACACACACACACACACACACACACACACCAATAATAAAGAAGAGGCCATGAATTTGGGAGGAGGAACAAGAGGTGTAAGAGGATGGATGGAGGGATGAGAATAATGTAGATGCAGTGTTCATTTATGAAGTTCTCAAAAAAATTACAAAGAAAAAAAGTTCTTTCTCCTTCCTTCCTTCCTTCCTTCCTTCCTTCCTTCCTTCCTTCCTTCCCTCCTTTCCTTTTTTTTTTTGAGACAGGGTCTTTTATATAATCTTGGCTATCCTGGAACTCACTATGTAGGCCAAACTGGCCTTGAATTCACAGAGATCTGCCTTCCTCTGCCTCCCAAGTCTGGGAATTAAAGGAATATTCCACTGTGCCTGGTTAAAACAACAATTCTTATCATAGATTTGTGCCTATAGATATCTCTTTTGGAGTGGAAGCTAATGTAAATGGCATTATCTTTTAAATTTTAAATTCTATTGTCAATTGTTGATATGTAGGAAAGTAATGAATTCTTACATTTTAAAAACTTTCTGTAATTGCTTATAGTGTGAAGAGATTTTTTTCTTTGATTCTTCAAGTTTTCACAAGAAAGCCAAGATATTTTAATTGATTTTTGCAATTTGTACTGATTTCTCCTTTCCTATTGTATTGTGCTAGGTTTCCAGGAAAACAACGGAAGGAACATGAACAGCCTAGTTTCCGAACATGTCCTTTTTCTTTCATAACACAAATTCATTTCTTTTCTGAACCTGTTGAAGTAGAGACGTTTCACTTTATTACGCTCCTGGTATGCTTTCAGTATTTTCGATGTATCAAAACAAATTGATACCCTCAATTTACAGCTGAGGAAATTGGGGCTCAAAGTTACCTTGTCCAATAACAAAGGCTCATTCATGGTTGAGGGGAGCTCATACTCAGCATTCTAAGCGTTGATCACTTTGCTATCTTAATCCAGAAGTCAGTATGAGACTTAATTCTCCGAATTAGTCACTGTCTTGTGTTAGTGAGAGACCGCTTTATTGCAATTATCACTAGAGCTTTCCAGAGCTGCAAACTGTCACCCACATTATAGAATGACAGGGACTCCTTGTTGACTCTCTCCAGGTGCAATCTCCCGGTTGATACACAACTGCTGGACTCAGCAGGTCTCCTCTTCCTAATCCAGGCTAGTCCTTGAAAGGCATTGGTATGTGTGGACTTTCTGTAATTCATTTGCCCAGAGTATACTTTTCAACGGACATAGTTCACTCTTTGTCAATGAGTGTTGTGGAGGGTATTTGCCATCTACTTGGACTTTGCAAATTTTCTGCGATAAAGGATTACAGCGGAACTCTCAGGTCAGCGGCCTTTGGAGGTGGATAAACTGCTGTTGAGAATGACTGAATGAATTCATTCCGTAGTATCTGCTGGAAACTTCTTGTACATTAGAGGCATTTGCAACCATTAGAGGTGACTGTTAAGTGTAAAATGTAAAGACTATTTTTTATACAATACCAAAATTTAAAAGTACTCTGAATGAATGGAAGTGTATATTGCTTGTAACCGGCACTCGTATCCTCCTGTCTTGCATTATAGGTTTTGTGTGTATGTGTGTTTCCCCCCTCATCTTTGCTTTTAATTTATAAAATCCTTGAAGGAGTTAATCCAATATGTGTGTGTGTGTGTGTGTGTGTGTGTGTGTGTGTGTGTGTGTATGTGTGTGTTCCATAAAGGCTTGAAACTCTTTCTCTACAGCACAAACTGGAGAACAGTTTTGGACTAACTCTTTGCCCAAATCAAACAACTGTACCTATCAATCATATTCTTTGCACATGATATTTACTATTTAGGGTCAAGTTATGTAGACACAGTCACAGAATGAAGATAGATTCATGCTATTGGTTAGTATGAAGTGATTTGCCTTGTTAACTAGGTTAATCAATTGATACTCTGCAGATTTATCTTCTGGTGACTCATAAGACCTACAAAAAAAGATGGAAGCTCATTGGATTTCCTATCCAGGTTAATCTGGTTTTCACTGTGTGAACAATAGGTACAATCAATTAATTATACCTTAGTGAGCTCTCACAATGGTTAAATATAGTTGGCTCCATTGTGTACTGTCGGTGATAGACAAATAAAGTAATGTAGGATCTCTGATGTCTTCAAGGTCCACATGAGATAATAGAATCTGGTTTGCATACCAGGTTCATAAAACATAATAGAGGCACCAAGCTTCTGTTCCCCACATCTGCATCTACACTCTTGCAGTTTTCTTATTGTCCCACATCTGCGTCTTTTTTTCAGGCTCCTTGGCCTGTCCACCACCCCATGTCTGTGCTTAGCAAACGAGTAAGAGGTCTCAGGCATCATTGACAAGAGAGGATGATGATGTGTGGGAAGTACAGTAGATGCCGCATCGTCACTCGAGTGAGCGAGGTGGGTGAAGACAGGATGTGCTCAGCAGTTCTGTGGGGTAGCCTTGCACCTGCGCCAGAAAGTCTCTCAATCTGCAGAAAGGCAGCTCCTTCCTCTCAGCGCCGAGCACCCTGTTTTTCTCCTGCTTGTCGTCCCCTTCCCAGGCCACTCTGCTGAGTTAGGGAACAGTTCTGTTTCTGAGCGGCCACCATCTTCCAACATTCCACAGATGTTTCACTTAACTCGCTTAGTTTGAATGGTAATCCTCAATGCAACCAGAGCGAAAACAGGCTCCAACAAGCTCAAACCCCATCTTCTTACGTGGCAAGCGTGTGTGGGCTTGTCACCTGGGGTTAAAATTTGGAAAGGCTGTTCTTTCTGTATATCTATTAGCAGTGACAACCCAATAAAGGAAAAGATATACTAAACACTTATAACAAAGTATTCCACGAGTGCTCTTTATAAAAACTGAAAAAAAGGTATTCCATATGCACATATGTGTGTATTTGTGTGGGCATGTGTGCCACGGGGGGCTGTCAGACAACTGGAGGAGTCTCTTTGTCCCTCACGTGAGTTCCAGGGATCGAGTGCAGGCTCTTGGGCTTTGTGGGGCAGGCACCTTTACCCACAGCACCCTCTCAATATTCCCTATGACTGTTCTAGAAATAGTAGAGTTATATAAAGGAGTGGATTCTATTTTGGATCCACAGTAAGACAAAAAAAGTAGACACAGCATCTTAAAGAAATTAAATTCATTATTGGCTAACACACAAAACGTAGAAATTGTACGAAAGTGTAGCTCAATGGTAGAACATTTTTTATTGCATTCACAAGTTCCTGGGTTTCATTCCCAGCACAGCAAGTTAGCAAATAAAATTACACTTATTAATTGGATGATCTCTGGTATGTTGATGTGAGTATGCACTGTATAACTTTAAAATCCTATTTATTTATTTGAAATTTTTATTATTTAAGATTCTTTGTGTATATGTGGTTATGTGCCGTGATATATGTGGATAGGTGCTCATGAAGGCCAGATGTTTGGATCCCATTGGAGCTGGAGTTATGGGAGCTGCCTCGTGTGGATGCTAGGAACCAAATTTGGCCCCTCTGCAGGAGCAGTTAATGCTCTAGCTGCTGAGCATCTCTTCAGCCCCACACACAGTATAATGTTTAAGTTCAAATATATCTATCTTTTCAAAGGGTTTTCATTTATTATGGTGAGAACTTTAAAAATCCTCTTTTATCTTTTAGAAATCTATCCTAAGCAGGTTGAGTTATATGTTTATTGGTTTATATGTATAAATAGCAGCAGCAGGTCAAGAAGAAGAGGCTGCGAATTTAGTGGGCATTAGGACACGGGAAGGGTAGGAGAGGGAATGAAGAGATGATCTGATTATATATTTTCTTTTTTCTTTTTTTAATTTATTTTTCTCTTCTCCCCTCCCTGCCTCTCTTCTCCCCTCCTCCCCTCTCTCAAGGCCCCCATGCTCCCAATTCACTCAGGAGATTTTGTCTTTTTCTACTGCCCATGTATATTAGATCCATGTATATCCCTCTTAGGGTCCTCATTGTTGTCTAGGTTCTCTGGGATTGGAATTTGTGGGCTGGTTTTCTTTGCGTTATGTTTAAAACCCACTTATGAGTGAGTACATGTGATAATTGTTTTTCTGGGTCTGGGTTACCTTACTCAAAATGATGTTTTCTAGCTCCATCCATTTGCCTGCAAAATGATCTGCTTATATTTTAATTGAATGAAAAAAAAGTCTGTCCATGCTGTTTTCTTTAACATCAATGTGCTGTGCTATTGCACAGCAGATCTTCCTGTTCCTATCTAACTTTAATCTAACAGCCATTGATTGACCTTGCCTGGTCCTTGCCTTTCTGTATCTCTCCCCATCTACTGTAACTGCCGTTCTACTCCATGAGATCAGCTTCCCAAGAATCCACACATGAGCAGATCATGGAGCACCTGACGGCCTGTGCCTTAAAGTAACAACCCCCAGCTCCTTTCGTGGTTTCTCAAAAGACAGGACTTCATTCTTTGGTTGAATACTGTGGAGTCACAGATACATTAGTGCTTTGTTGCCTGGGCTGTAACCAATGTCTTTTTTTTTTTCCTCCTTCAGATTCTGTTGTATCTTCTACCAACTGCCTGTCTTCCTCCTGGGAATTTTACAGAGAAGGTTCAGAGCATCTATGACCTTCAGGGGCTCTGAGAAAAAAGAATAACCAAATCACCGACACAGAGTTCACCTGCATGCCTTCTGGAAGAAGAAACACATCGCCTTTCCTCGGGAATTTTCACCATCGACAGCCAGGGATGTAACTTTGCTGATGCCATACTTCTGAGGGACTATCAGAGAATGGTCATACTGTTGGTTTTTAAATACCAGGAATCGAATTCAGAACTATGTGCCTGCCAGGCAAATGTTCTACCACTGAACTATACCCTAGGACCCTAATTTATAATCTGTTCTGTTTGCTGGTTTGGGTCTTAGACATGTTACTATATCTCTCTCATTGTGTCTCAGCCTTAGCTTTATAAAACAAGACAATGATGATGTTCTGAGATAAAGTCCTCAGGGGGAATGGGTGCACTGATGTGCATAAGTACTGTTAAGAGTGACACAGTTAGGCATTTTACTAGTTTTTGTTAAATACATTACAATCCCTGGCATTGTTCCCGCCACACATACTCTGTGGGAGCTGTGAACCCCCAGATCCTGAATTTCTTGTTTTCCCCTGATCTGAGTACCTACAGCTGCTCTGAGCACGAGACCCTCAGGAGTTCCTGATGGTAGGGGAATGGTTTCTGGTGTGTTTGGCTGGGGCGTGGCTATCCCTATATAAGCTGCCCCTGAACACAATAAAGGGGGCATTCTTGGGGCATTCTGGCATCAAGGATGACCCCTGCCTCTCTCTGTCTGTCTCTGTGTGTTTCAATCTCCAGCCCCTTGCCTGGCTCACCAACTGTGTGGTAGTGCATAGAGCAGAGACGGGCGTCGTGTGCTGCAATACTCAATGCTCTGTGGAGTTACTGGGGTTACTGTACTTCCCAAGGAACGCGAAGGCTCTTGAGATGCAAGCATTCACATTCTTCCAAACGCAAAATCTAATAGAATAAATAGGACAATATTTAAAAACATAAAATAGTTATACATGTTTGTAAAAACATACAAATTGAAGAGCTCTAACCAAGGATGAAAACAAAATGATGACTACACTAACAATCTAGGACTGGAGGAGGGAACTAAAAGATGCGTTTCAAAGATGGGAGGATTTGCACAGACTACATGGGAAAACTGTCTTGTCAGCAGAGCTTGTGGTCTGGAAATGAACACACAGACTGGGGAAAAGGAGGTCACCTCAGAGCACCTTATACATTGCTTACCTAATGGGGGTGTTTTGCATCTTGTTGACTTGCAAAAAAAGTTACAATATGGTGAATGATGGAATTTGTCTATGAGAGAGAAATAAAGGATTATGCCATAGAGATCGTTTCTTCATCTCTTTTTCATCTGTATCCTCATCAATTCCAGCAACAGTTGGAGCATGTATGGTGTGTCAGCCCCGTGCTAGCCAGCAGGGGTGCTGCAGTGACAAGCGACTCACTTTCCTGGGACTTTATAAATTAGTGCAATCAGATTACAGACACTGTGAGTGCCAAGGAAAGACACTTGGCGTTTACTTAATGAGTAATGGGGAATCATCAAGGCATGTTTTTTTTTTTTAAAGTGGCATTTTAGGGTTTTTCAGAATCGTTAAGGACTAGAAATGTGGACATCATTTTTGAGTTGTGGGGCTTGGAAGTAAGAGCTTGAATGGGAGCAGGACCAGTGTCCTGGGTGTAAGGATAAATAGGGGTTTGGATCAGAACCATTTAACTAAGTAAAAGTATATGGTGGATCAAAATCTTTAGGTGAAGTCACTCCAAAGCTATGGAGCTGGGTGACATGGAGAATTATGACATCACAAGCCAGATACCTCTTCCCCTCCATGCTCAGGGATATTTTGAAAGATGGGCTAGGAAGATCCTAAAAGTCAAAAGGAGTAGACGTTTCCAGTAAGACAGCATTTTTCAGACGTGAGTGAAGTTGTACAAAGGATCTCCCAGCAGCTAGAACTGCATGCAAAGACTGCACAAGGTCAAGACAACATGTATGGGGGAGGGCTCATGAAGCCTCACCTCTACCCAAAGATCTATTGATGGAGGGAGGCTTGGGCATGCAGGTGCTGGAGCACTAACCGTGATCCTATAGATGGTCCCGCACGTATGCACATATGGGCAGCACTAAGCTGACTCAGTGGGATTCAGGGGAGTGGGGGATGGAGGAGAGAGAACACATAGAGTTCAGAGAGAGAAAAATGGGGTGAGACAGAGAAGAAATGGCAGGGAGGGAATGGGGAATTAAAATAGTTATGTGTGTGTATTAATATTTGTGTGTGCTTGTGTGTGTGTGTGTGTGTGTGTGATGCAGGGGTTGGAACTCGGGGCCTTTCAGGTATTCTATGACTATGCTCTATGCTGAACACGTTTGGATCAATTCGATTCTATCCTATCCATTTTACCTACCTACAAACTACTTTCGCAACACATGGGCTCACTTCACGATTGTGTGAAAACTGTCCTAAAGCTAGTTGGGCATTGAAATGTTATTGCAGTATTATAAGTATTTTTGTGAGTAAGGATCTTGTAGAAGAAAAGTTGAGGTGGCTAGAGATTTTAGAGTTATGATTAAAAAGCATGTTTGAGTTAACAGAACACACAACTTAATTCAGAATCTTTGGGAATAAGCAGAGCATCCCTCAACATGAGAGTCAGTTAAGTTAGACAACCACTCCCTGGTGTGTGGATAACCAAGAACATTGGAAGCAGCTACATTTGAAACATGTACATTGACATTTAAAACAAGTAAATATGTAAAGATACGACAAAGCGAGTTTTATTACTTAGGGAGAATATTGTCAACCATATCTGCCCTCCTCATTCTTGCAGGCGCACTTCTGAAGTGATGTTTCCCGTGAGTACTTACAGCTTTAAGCGACACTGAGCGTGAACCAAAGAGCCATGTCTGGGCTGGTGTAGTGTCGTAACTGCCACTTTAATTTTACTGATTAAGGAATAAGGGCATGTATCTGTCGAATGGCCACAAACTTGTTTCTTAGAAATGGCTTTATATTTAGGGGGCTGAGACACTGCGGAGACAGTAATATTTACATTTCTGCAGCACCACTTTTTCCTTACTAAGCGAAGTAGACTACCAAAGAATGTGTGTGTCAAACGGTGTCATTCTGAGATTTAGACTTGGGTGGGGAGGGCAAAGAAGGCTCATTGTAGTCCCCAGCATTTGGGTGATGGATGTAGCAGGGCAGAGCACTGAACTAAAGAGACCTCAGTATGCCTGATGGCCAGAATGTTGTTAGCCTCTTTAGTTGGTCAGGAGTGAAGTAAGACAGCTCAGCCTCTACCCTACCTACTCATTTACATCCACTCTTTCCCTCTAACCATGCAAGTACTCCTTGCATTCTAACGAGATGATGTGGAATTGTTCACAGCTGCATGTGCACAGAGATACATGCGCAGGTATCTCTTCATTGGGCAAGTTAAACTGGCAATCAATGGATATTCAGAAGGGCTGCTTGACCCTAGGCAAGTGTCAGCCTGAGTTTGGGATGAGCCCAAGACTTGGCTCGTGGATTTGCAGAACTCCATATAGGCCAAATGTAAAATGCAATTTGTAAATTTCAATTGCATGGAAACTTTAATGTAGCAACCTCAGTGATTTAAAAAAAGGCAGAGAAAACAATTTTGGAACAGTCCAAGAGAGACTCCAAAGTTTAATGGCCAAAGTTCAGGCCTTCGGCACTGTTTACCAGGGACAACTAACCTTCTGTCCTAGTGGACAGGACCTACGTGGTGACATTTAGGGACCCATGGAACCATGGCTTCAGGCGTGTTCCATCTTCAGTGGTGTGAGGATACTGAGTAACTGCCCCTCTGTATTTTAGGGAAGGTTAGGTATGGTTTGCAGATATTACACCACTATATTTGCCAGGAAGTTTAGAAATGGAAATTGATGTGGGTATGTATTAGAGAAAAGGCACACGGAAATTAGAGACTAGTTCATCATGGAGAATCGGAGCACATCCTGGAGGGGACTCCAAGGCAGCTGTCAGAGGCTGGAGATGGCAGAGGGGGAGTAAGGGACCATGATGAATCTAGTGAAGGGCTGGGGGGGGGGTGAGGGGCACAGAGCAGCTCCTCTTACTCTTTGAATCCCCCCTTTCTGTTTGCTGCTTGTGATAACACTGTCTTGATTTTCTCCCACACCCCTGGTCATCTGTTCTTGAATTTTGAATCTTTCTTAAGATTGCATCATGGATTTCTTCTCTATGTGTCATTTTCTTTCTCTCAGTAATTTTTTTTTTTCATTTTTGAGAATTGGTCTTACTATGTAGCTAGGTTGGATTGGAACTTGTGATCCTTTTGCTTCAGACCCCTGGATGCTGTAAATACAGATGTGTGCCACCTACATGGCAATTTCTCCCTTCTTCGTGATTCACAAATAGTGATCATAGGTTAGGCCTTGCCTGGGACCGCTATATCCTTTAATATATAACCATCTAAAAGATACATGGTCTTAGAAGACTTAAATATGCCTGGAATTTAACATGTATAGACCCTGCCAGTCATCTTGCTACATCACTGCTTTTCAACCACTGAGTAACAGGAGGATACCCTGATGGAAGAGGCCATTTCAGGCCTGAGAAGGTTCTCAGGGTCACTTGGATAGGGAATTCCGTAGTCAGGGTCCTTCAAGCACGGTCTAGCAGAAGAGGAAGATAGACTTTTAGTGGGCACAGATTATTATTGGTTTTGTTGACATAAAAACAAGAAAGCTGAAGAACAAAGGGATTTTCTAACATCTTGTAGAGACGAGGTTTTCTTGTTAGGTCAAAGGCCAATATTAAATATTTCCATAGCTGTCCATTTCTACCCCATTGAAGAATTCAAGATCTTGTCTTCTGCTGCTGGGATTATCACATGAATTCTCTGGCTACTTTTCCTACATGCGTTTTTCTTGGCTTTCTAACCTTTTCCCACACTGCAGCTGGGGAAATCTTTCTGAGGCATAAATCAGATTAAATCATTGAGCCAACTAAGCCTGATTCAGCAGCTTTTGAGCACAAGCTGAAATGTTTACTATGGTTAATCTAGATACAAAGCCATCTTCTATACAACCATGTCATCTCACACCAGGCTTCCAACACCCCCGGGTGGACCTTTCTTAGGTCCCCACCCCCCCATTTTAGTCTTGTTCTGGCTTTCTTTTACCTTAAAGGTTATTTTTTCCTTCACTAACTGTGCTCAGTAAAACCTTTTTAGCTCATATGTCTGAGCCCAGGAGAACTTCTCAGTCTCCCAGGCCAATGGTGTTCCCAGGTTGGATATTGTTTTAGCCTTAATTATCTGTGTGATGTAGTTTATCTGTCATCGTTGATAAATCCATTTCCACAGATGATCTTGTGGCTTTCTTTAAGGATATTGTCTTTGAAGAACTTGTACCAGCAAAATAACCATATCCCCATACTCAGATTGGAAACCTAAATAATTGAAAATTCTTCTTTTCTCTTCTGCTGCCCACCTTACCTTTCATTTTTTTTTTCTTAATGTTCCTGCAGGAAGTTCCACTCATTTCCTAGGTGGGGCCTAGGTGGGGTCTTTGATTTGGTGAGACTTTTGGAAATAACCTCTCTTCATAATCTCCTACTCCCCTCAGCCTTCTGCCTGCTTATTCCATTTTACCCCCGCCTCCCAAAATGTTGCTCCACAAACACAAATTCACCCAGCGAGAGGGATTTCTAAATTTTCTAGTCGTTTGAGTTCCATAGGGAGCTGAAGAGGTTGCAGCCCACACATCTTTAGGCGTGAGGTTGCCTTTGGTTTAGGACCTCTCCTTTACTATCCTAGCTACACCGTGCACTCGTCATGCACATGCCTTGAAATGTTGTCCTATAAGTACGTTGCAGTGCGCCCGTCTCTTCTGTTGGTCAGTGAGCTCCCTGAGGTCAAGAGTGTCTTATTCATTTCTCATTGTTCTGTCTTATTCAATGCATCCTCACAGCCTAGAAAACAGCCTACGTCCCAGTCAGTGTTCCTCCAGTATCTGCTGAGCATGCGTAGAGCATGGGGTGACACCGCTTGAAATTAGAACGAAACATTGTGCCGCGTGCCCCGTCAGCAGGACACCGTGCTTGTTGATGCCAGGGAATGTTTGCTCTTAAATACCAGCATTCCTGATATGCTTATCTTGGCCCCTTGCCCGTGGAACTGCAGAAAGAAATTTGGACTGATCAATACAGCCATCTACCTGCCTTTAAATCAATCCGAAAATGCTAACTTACATACTTTTCATATGTGGCCGCAGAAAGAGTATAGATAGAGTAAAACAATTGAAATAGCTATTATACACATTTGAGCTACTTATGCAA